AAACACACATGTTTTCTTCACTTCTCAACAAGCCTGACAGTGTATATGGGTAAAGACTCAGCTCTTATCACCACCCTCCATAGTGCTAGTACCTGAGTGAGACTGTGTCCTATGGATGTGATATGACTTGTTCCTCTCTCAGAAGGTCACAAAGCAGGACAACGGGTACTTAGCATCTCCACACCTCTTTTTGCATCTGAGGTATACTGGAAGTCTCTTGACCCCAGAGCTTCCTCCACGTTAGAAGAAGGTAAGGACCAGATTCATAGTGTCTCCTTGGTGCAACCTCCCCTTAAGAATGGTCTAAAGGCCTTCCCTGACATTCTCTGAAGTTCCAGCCCAGAATCCATGTATCAGGCCTAACATCTTGGGTTGATGATCAGCAATCAGAAATCATACTACAAGCGAAGAAGCAGGGACATGGTGGATACCCTAGCCATACTTGGGAAACTGAGGATACTAGAACTGAAGCTGACTTAAAAGGGGCGGGGGGAATCCCATTACTACCTCAGATTCTTCCCTGACCTGACCTCAGACTCAGTTGTCAGTCTAGAACCTATTGGCAAACTCTACTTGCAATCCCATTGCTGGCCCCTTGAGGCTGGGGATGGTGTGACTGTGGTATTCTGAAATTATCCGGTAGTTCATAGTCTGACCCTGGTCTCATATTGCAGAGCTGTGGAGGGATGACGCCCTATCACCAACAGAAGCCAGGCATAGCCCCTGAGCAGCCAGGGGAAACTGAACAGATGTGAAATGCTGCAATGCCCTCTGTAAGGCTGTCCTCATTGTGGCCCCAAACTCATCTGCTCCTGGGGGGTCGGGGACAGAGTCTGTCCCAAAATTGGGACATTTTCTAACATCATCTTCTCCCTTCCTGCACCAAAGTTAATCTAAATGACCTGAGGGCAGCCCAGTCACACCCAGAGGAAGGTCACCTCCTCCACTCTGACATGAAGGCCTGAGCCCACTGTCAGGGTACCCTGAGAAAAGCATGGGCCTCTTGCCACATCAGATGTTTGGGACAATGTAGGGAGAAGTCTCTGAACTAGCTTGGACCAGTCCTGGAACTGCCTAAGACTAAGCCCCTGGATCCACCCTGCACCTCAGGGCAGCGCAACCACAAGCACTGGCTAGCTTGTGGCTCAACAAGAGATGCACGTTTGTGTGCAGCAGAATCCACAGCTACGATTCATCCTGGGAAGCAGGGAAAGGTCCACCAGCCCCATTCCTCCGCCTTTCTCTTCTTTGTCTGTCTTTGTTCCTTCCCCCACCTGTGTGCTCCTTCGCCAAAGGTGTGTTGCCAGCACAGGACTGACTGTGGTGGGAAGGGGGGGAGGGGTTCAGGAAAAAAAAAAAAAAAAACTTGTCCGTTATTAATTCCCCCAAGGACTTCAGCGCCTCCAAAGCTGATTGAATTATTCATAACAGCCTCAAATTTGGCCCAAATTGAGAGCTGCATGTCTTGTTGATAGCTGCTAACTCTGTTTTTCCCCTGTAGCACTTCCTGTTTCCTTAGAAGAGGCGCAGCAGCTAGTAGAGGATTAGTCTGCACCTTCTCTGTCACTAGCTCCTGCACAGCCCCCCACCAACAGTGTCTCTTCACCTCCTCCCAGCAGCCAGAAGCAGCAGCCATTCATTCACCCCTCTGTTAACCTCCCTTGTTCACAAAGAGCACAGCAAACTCGTTTCTGGTAGCATGCTGGGGAGAAATTCAGGTTACCCCAGTTACTTTGATTGAACCACCTGAGTTACACAACGCTGTAGCTCTGATGGCTGTCATCGCACAGGACTGGCCTGTACCCTGGAAACAACAGCAGGCTAGGTGTGGAGGGGCCTGAGGTCCTAGCCTGGGGGAAGAAGGAAGGACCGGAGCCAGGGACTGGTTGCTATGGAGATGTTCTTCCCCAACAAATGGAGTAGTTGGAGCTGTCAGCTGGAGGATGGCACCATGACAGAAAAGACAGACACAGACCGGTGCAGTATAGGAGATGAGAAATCTCCCCTTCACCTCCAAGGCTGTGCCAGAGTGGCTGGAGGAGCTGGGAGGGGGGAAGGGCAGCCAGGCTGCATTGGCAGAGCTGGGCTGTCCTGGAAAACACACTACACGTTCAGATCAGTGCCTAGGGTGTTTACCCCTCCGCCCTCACCAAGCTCCCATGAAAAGAGTCTCGCCTGCTTTCAAGAGGCAGAGAAGGACACTCAGACCTTGAAGGTCTTACCCAGAACCACAGACCAGGAAATCTGTGGCTGAGATTTGAATTCAGATTTTTCTAATTCCCAGGCCCATATCTATTCCCCTGCAGCTTGATTGTGCCAATCAACCTGAGTGCCAGCTCACTGGAACAATTGGCAGGTGCAGGCTCTAGAGGCTCGGGGGATTCTAAAGCAAGTCTGACAGAGGAGACCTCCTTTTCCAAACTGTGCTTTTATCCCCGCCGCCATGGCCTCTCCCACAGGTGCTCCCAGGCAGACCCTGGGGTCCGAGACACCCCCATGCACCCCCTCCACCCCTCTGCAGGCTTGAATCCGCTTCATCACTAAGGACCCTTCCAGTCCACCTCCAGAGTGTATTGGTCAGCTCTCCATCACCGTGACAAAATACTTTAGGAAACAAGGAGAAAGACACTGTTTGGTTCATGATTTTAGAGGATTCTGTCCATGCTCAGCTAGCTTCATTGCTTCTGGGTTCAGTGTGAGGCTGAGCATCATGGCCAATGAGACAGAGGAAGGTACAGCAGCTCACTTCATGTTGTACATGGCGAAAGGTCAGAGAGAAAAGGAGGCACCTGAGATATAACCCCAAGTCCACACCCTCAGGGACTCTTATTCAACTAGGTCTTAACCTCTTAAGTTTCTTATCACCTTCTAATAGTCCATCAAGTTATTAACCCATCACTGGATTGATCCATTGATGGGGTTAGAGAACTGATCCTAGTGCATCTCAAAGCCTTCAGCCTGTGGCATTTGGGGGACACTTTATATTAGATTATACAAAAAAGCCTTCTCTGAATACCATCATCCACAGTATCCAGGACCTCCCCAAGAGCTCTGGGTGTACAGCTCTTTCCTGAGGGTTCCCTCCTAAGAACATTCATATTGTTCACAGCAAAGGACCCAGATGGACCAGCCAGTGAGGGTGGGGTGAGGCCTTGACAAAGTTGTGTAGCCCCAGCATGAAAGCTGATGGGGGGCCTCCTCCTGCCATCTGTGTGCATCTCCACGGAAATGGGCTCTGCCTGTCCCCGGTGGGGTCTATAGCTTTAGACAGTGTGGGTGGCTTGCCTGGCCTTGCTTCTGCACACTGGTTAAAATGGTTGATGTCCATGGAATACTTGGATAATGACAAACAAGTGATGGGTGTTATTTTTCTAGATAAAAGGTAGGCTACAATGGAATCTTTTAAGCTGGGGTCTTAGAAGAACTGAGCTGCCCCAGAGAGAGATAAAATGTCTTTTAGATGCATTGCTGATCCCAGAAAAGCACTTGTCTTATGATATTCATCTTAGAACTGGGCTCAGCTGTAGGATTCCCAGAAAGTTTGGAAACACAGACGACTGTGGGTAACAGGTGGCTTTCTGATACGACCTCACAAGATGAAGTCAACAGCATTCCATGGGATGTTCCATGTGTTAGTTAACCTTCACAGTCTGTTGTGCAATGCTCAGCCAGCACAGTGATCCAGAGACATGGCCCCACCAACCACAATGCTACAAGTCACTGCACATACATCTATGAGGTACTACCTCTAAGGACTTGGGTTACTTAGTACCCCCAAATAAGCTTGAACCTGAACCAGAACCCAGGAGAAATTATTAAAGAGTTCAGATCTGGGACGTCTCCAGCCTCCTCTGTCAATTCACTCTACTCAGGTATGGTGCTGTGGAGGTAGAGCAGGCCAGGAAGGCAATGTGGAGTGGAAGTTCTAATTAGGAGCTTGGGAAGGTCTTCATCTCCCAGTGGCTTTGACAGAAGCTGTAAACCCAGGATGGAGAGAAGCTCTGAACCAGTGTAAGTCCTTCCAGGGCTTGGAGGGTTCCTCATCTTGTAGCAGCTTCAGTGGAAGCTGAGACCCGGAGCAGGGACTGGATCTGATGCGGTGAGGCCCACAGACATGTGGACCATCCCACAGCTCACAGAGAACACTGTAGAACAAGGCAGGCATCAAGGACCACACCTTACCCTCAAAGGAAGCCTTGAAATAGAGCCGTGGCTCTAAATACTAACTGGCATTTCAACCCCACTATAACTCAGTCCTTCACTGAACATGACAAATGCCACCACTGAAAGAAGCGGGGGCGGGGGGGGGGGCTTGAAATTTAAACGGAAAACTCAATCAATGATCTAACAACAGATGTGTAAGTCCAAGCACAGTCAGAAACAATATGGAAAAACAAGAATGTTGTGGGATAATCTTTTTGTATACTGTGAAGATGTGTCTCTACCTACGGCACCTTCTGATTGGTTCAATAAAAAGTTGAATGGCCAATAGCTAGGCAGGAGAGACTAGGAGGGACTTCCAGGGAGACAGAGAGGACTCTGGAAAGAAGAGAGGCAGAGACACTAAAGAAGTCAGACATACAGTACAGAGAAGAGATAACTGAGCCACATGGCAGAATTAATAGAAGCAGGGTAATTTAAGTTATAAGAGTTAGTTAGGGACAAGCCTACGCTAAAGGCCAAGCTTTTATAATTCATAATGAGTCTCCATGCTGTTATTTGTGAGTTGGTGGCCCAAAGAAAAGTCCATCTACACAAGACATGTCTGCCCCACCAGAAATTAAATCCCATAAGGGCACCTGATAGAGACAATAGAAAACAGCTTCCAGAAAAAGATTTCAAAAGAGCCATTAAGTATGTTCATAAAACTCAAAGAAAATGTGGATAAAAAGAGAAAGACAGGACAAACATGAAACAAGAATCACTCAGTCACAGCAGTGACAAGGAGAAGCCTTGAGGAGAGTGACGCTTACTACAGAAAGACCACAGGTGACACCTACCCACAGTGCAGCGGGGCGCTGTCCTGCAAGGGCTCGAGCTTCCACAGCATCACTGCAGTTCCAGGACTAGGAGAACAGATGGTGTTTCCACCTGAAGGAGGGATAGTGTGCCCTGCCTGAACAGGAAGAACCCTCTCTATATGCCCCAGTCTTACGGATATAAACCTTCAGTTTCCAGGAAGCCAGAAGCCTGCCTCCTCCGAGAATGTTTCTGCAGTTTTGCTGTGTCGTTCTGACTCAGAAACAGCATTCCTAAGCAGCTGCTTCGGCTGGCTCTCACTGGATAGCTAATCTTCACATGGTATCTCTGTTGGAATCACAATGCTCCTGTGAAAATGACATTTCACCTGCACTCGGACAGGATTAATGGATCTACCTCAAATACATGTGTTCTTCTATAAATGGGTTTAGTTAATTAACAGACATAGATTGGTAGATGATAGATGATAGCTAGCTAGATGTAGATCGATAGATAGATAGGTAGATAGATAGATAGATAGATAGATAGATAGATAGATAGATAGATAATAAGCACACATGAGAAACAGGCATATAATAAATACATAATTTGTAGATAGCTGATTCATAGATACAGATTGATGAGAAATATATAATGCATGATTGATGACAGGTAATAAATAGATTTAGAGTTCATGAGTAGATAAGTGTTGGATTAAGAATTAATTTTGGAGAGTTAATCAAGAAAATAACTAAATTAAAAGTAATGAAAATCAATGGAAATGGAAGAAATCAATGAAACAGTAAAACTGGGCATGGATGTGAGTTTAAGGGAGATGGTTTCCGAAATATGGTGGGAATAAGCAACTGGAGGTGGTTGACTAGAGACAAGCAGTAGGTCCAGGTGAGAAAGAGGCTGATGGAAGACTCCAGGGGAATCTCGCTTCATCCTCACAAGCCTATAATGGGTTACTCCCAGCATCCCTTTCTTCACTTGATCTATGAGAAGAGATATGGTCTGAGTGCAGGGATGGGAGAGTGAGAAGTCAGGTGCTTCTCCATTTTGCTGTTCCCTCTCCCTGGGGACATACATGGAGATGAACAGTGCTAGAAAATGGCAGATGAACAGAAGCCACACTGACCTGACTCCCAGTTAGCCCCCAAACTCCATAGAAACCTTCTTCTAGTCCTGTGCTTCTGGAGAGAGAGAGAGAGAGAGAGAGAGAGAGAGAGAGAGAGAGACTCCAGAACAAGTTGAACTCTGAGTTCTTCTGCAAAGCCAGAGAGAGCGGCAATTCCCAGAGGCTCACACCAGCATCTGATCAGAACGGCACGTCTCCAAAATGTCAGCTTCAAAGAGAATCTCTTCTACCTCTCAGTGGGACTTGCTTTGGCTACATAGATGCTGAAGGCAGGCAATGCCACAGAAGCAGGCAAGGAAACTCCGGTATCCAACAACTGGGCAGAGCGTGTCCTCCCTTATCACCCCCTGAAGACAGCCAAAGGAGTAGAAGCCTCAATGCATCACACTAGTGCTCCGTCTGGTCAGTGCTGTCAGTGGCAGGCCTGGGAAGACTAGACCAGCTTCATGGCCTCCTGTATTCATATCTTAGAAGATGTCCTGTTCCGTGTACAGGAGGCCTCCCCTTCTGCAGCCTACTGGTGCTCACTTACTGTTAATCCTCTGGTGAGAATGTAAAAGTCAGAGAAGGTAAGATCTAGAAGGAAGCTGAAATCTTAGCATCAGGGATCAACATTCTGGGTGTGAAAGTAGAGAAACTGAGGCTTGGGGGAGTGAAATAAGTTATCAAACCATGTGTCCTGGGTGAAAAATGTGACCCTTGGTCCACAGTCCCTAGGACCCTACCCCAACAAGGACTAGATCATATTCTGCTAAACTGTTTCTCCCCTGTCTCATGTCTTTGCCATTCATCCCCGGGCTACTTGTACAAGGACTCACAGCTTACTTTAGTGTCAGCATTAAAATAGTATAAAGAGAGAAGTAAATCTCCCTCAAATCCAATACATGAAACATTTCCAACCTTTCCCTGTATTGCTGGGTCTAGCTGAATCTGGCTGTGGATCCAGACTGGACGGCCTTTTTCCTCAAGCCTGTCCTAGGGCAGTCCCCATGGAAGGAACAGCTGAGCTGAATACTTAGATCTCCACGATCCTGTGGAAAATTCACCCATCATCTGGTGCTGCCAGTGGGGACCTCTTCATGGCTGATGGGGAGGTCTAAGTTTGGTTCAAGCATCACTTGGATGCTCAGTTCTGGGTTTTGTCATTCAGTTGGCCACTAGTTGGAAACTCCAAGGGCACACAGCTGTGTCACCTGACTTAGGGCCACAACCTGTGTCCCAACAAGCCAGGTTTGGCCATTTGTCCTAGAAAATCCAATTAAAACAGCAAATTACTAGTGAGAAGTAGAAAAAAACAGGAGAGTTGTCCTGGAGCACACTGGGAAGAGTGACAAAGAGTTGGAGTAACCCCGTCCCCCCGTGCACCGTCAGGATCTGACGTAAGGTTAAGGCTTTTGCATAGCTGAGAAGCTCTTGTGAAGAAGTGGTCCTTCTCAAAATTAACCCATCGTCATCTCTTCTTGAAAGTGATCTAACGAGTTGTACATCTGTCTCCTGAAGGAAAGCTTCCTTCTAGCTGGTCTGAGTTTAGGCTTTCACTTCCCCCAGCGTGGGATTCCTGGGAGGCAGTCCACTGTCTCGGCATCCATGGTTTCTATAGCCTGATGGCCAAGGTGAGGAGCTTGAGAGTCTGTAGTTTGTCTTCCTCTGGCCAGGCGATATACCTGTGCTTTGACAGAAGGAGCCACTGCCCTTTAATTGCTGCTAACATCTCTTCAGGTTCTTTGTTTTGGTGCCAGATGAGGCTCTCCACAGAAAACCACAAGGAACCACGAGATCAGAGTCACTAATGCTGGGGGACCTAGAGTGAACTCTGCTCATTATAATCCATTATAACAGTAATTATAATGCTAAATTATATACACTAAATTTCCCCACAGGGATGTTCTGTCTACCATTTTTGAACATGTGATGTCTGAAGAAGCATGATTTTTAACTGAGCATGCTTAGGAATGTGCCCCTGCCTCCTGCTTGTGGCCAAGACTCTTCCCAATAAGATCCTCTGACCTCTTGCATTACTGCTTGGGAATTACCCCAGTACTCTTCTTACTTGCTACAAGCAATATGCCTGTCTTTCCTCTTGTCTCCTGGCTATGTATGTGGGCTATATGCTTGACTGGTTCCACATTGGCATTGGAAATCAGCTTTGCTCATAACAACACTTGACTCAGCAGTGGCTGAGTGGAGATCTGGTGATGCTTACCTTGCTGCAAAGGGGAGAGAGGCCAGTAGGGATGCTGGGGAGCAGACCAGGATGAGGAATGTGGACACAGCACACGTCTTATCACTCTACCTTCATGAACAGCACTGGAAATAGGTACTGGTGTCCCTATTTCACAAGTGAAAAAATGAGGCCTAAGAAAAATAGTAAGGCCAGGCAGCGGTGGCACATGCCTTTAATCCCAGCACTCGGGAGGCAGAGGCAGGCGGATCTCTGTGAGTTCAAGGCCAGCCTGGTCTACAGAGTGAAATCCAGGACAAGCACCAAAACTACACAGAGAAACCCTGTCTCAAAAAAAACAAAACAAAAAAAAAGAAAAGAAAAACAGTAAGTAACTTGCCCAAGGATTCAGACACCAGAGTGGCAAACGTGGCTTTGGATCAGTTCACCCCTTCAGGGCTTTAGGACTCCAAAAAGAAGGCTGTGCAGAGCTATGGCGAGGGCCACTTGTTCCAGGATGAGGCTGGCTAGATTTGAATCCCCATCTGCCACTTTGGGCTGTGGGGCTGTGGGTCAAGTAATTAACCCCTCTGTGCTTTCATCGCCCACATCTGAAATAGAAACAATGGTGATTCCTTCCCCAATAGGATGTTACCACTGTACACATTGGAAGCAAGCCAGACGCAGTGCATAGTGCATGTGTGTAAACTATCGTTGGCACTCTCTCTTATCTCTTCTCGCCTGGAAAGGTAATATCCCCCAAACTAGACCCTTAGCTCTGAGCGCCTCTTGAGTCTCCAGGGATCTGGGTCTAAAACAAATTGTCTATTGGGAATGGGGATAGGAGCCTCCTAAACAAGGAGACTGTCCTGCCTCCAGCCACATGTAGTGACAGGCAGGGAGTCCCCCAGAATTAATTGCTCACCACCATGTCACTGCTGGTGACAAATTTGCAATTACTGTCTTCCAAGGAAGAAAAACATCCCATTCTCTCCCAGTTGTGGTCCCCAGTCTCTGGCTTGATTCACATATGTCTGGGATGTAGCGCCTGCCAGTTTCAAGGGGGGAAATAAGCCCACCCTAAGAGAAGGACCCTGGGCCTGAACGACAGGTTGGCTTATCCTGCATTCGTGATGAAAACTAGCCAACTGGTATCCTTCCAGTTGAGCCTCAAATTTGAATGGAGGTTAAGGAGCAGTGTTGGGATGGGAGTAAAATGGACAGTATTCCTTCAGACATGATGGTGTGTGCCAAGACTCCCAGAGTTCCAGTCTGAGACAAGAGTATGCTGAGTTCCTGGCTAGCAGAGTGCATGGCAAGTCTCAGTCTCTCTCTCTCTCTCTCTCTCTCTCTCTCTCTCTCTCTCTCTCTCTCTCTCCCACTCCCACTCCCCCAGCATTTCTCAATGAGAAAAGATCTAGAAGATCTAATGGGTAACATTGTATATGCTGTGTTTTTATCTAGCCCCAGACCTTTGCTTCAAGGTGTATGGAAATAGACTTAAGAGGAGTCCAATAAAGATCTGGATCCCTGATGAACAGGGACACATACGGGCTTTGCTGGCATTGTCTGTACCTGAGCTTAGCCTGTGTGAATGTTGCAGAGAGCAGAGTTGGGTAAGCACTGAGTCTCTGAGCTGCTTTGCCCGCATGTCCAGTTTGATTTGCAAACTCTTCCATCCAGGCCCCCAGAGTTATGGTCCCCTCCCTGTAACACCTTAGCAGAAGGATGAGATCAGCAGAGCTTTTTCTGGCCTTCACAAGTATACCCCATTGGGTGACTCACTGCATAAGAGCGTAAAGATAGGCCTGGTCTTGAAGTCACAACCATAGTTATGTTGTGGAATATTCCTTTACAGTGTGTGGATGTATGTCACCGTGATTGGTTTAATAAATAAACTGACTGGCCATTAGCTGGACAGGATAAGGTTAGGCAGGAAAGCCAAACTGAGAATGATGAGATGAGGAAGCGCGGG